CAACAAGAATCATGCGACTACACTTAAATGAAAGAATAATATTGTATAAACTTTTCTATTCACTCTAACAGTTGCATTCGCAAATTTATGAAACAATCATGGTTTCTTGATTGTAACTTTTCTTTTGATTATTTTTCTTTTGATTATGAAATATTCATCAACTTTCAATTTTTAACTAATCAACCATACTAGAATTATTGCATTCAACTGTGACTAAAGTTGTCACCCAACTGAAGTACTTTAGTCAACTGATATTACAATTTTAGTCAGGTTTCAACTTTATTCACGATATATTTATTAGTAACATCGTTGATGTTGACAATGTTGACAGAACTGCATCCAGCATAATTTTTCTTCACATTTCTATATTTTTCATTTAACGATTTAAACAATTATTATTATTCTCGAATAAATTAGCAGGTTTCATTAAATGGCAAAATACTTTGAAATGAGTTACATACGACAATTAGATACATACAATTTTTACAAATGCCTTGATGCAAAAAAAAAAAAAAAACGATCAAGTAGAATTAAAAAGAATGACACGGATCATGGCGAAATCTGGGGTCTTAATTTAGCAACATAAACCCTACCAACACGACGACGCAACACTCTCTTATTATAAACCCTAAATTCTAGCTCATATCTAAAAAAAAAAAAGCCTAGAAAATGTACCCCAAAAAATTTTAAAAACGTGTTATAAAAAATATTATATAAATTTTTATTCTAACGAAGTGCATCGAGATGGGTTAGACCGTTATCGGTATAAATCAGCGGTCAAAAAAAAATTTTCAGGGTTCGGCATTGCAGCTGTTTTTCTAAGTTCTGGGATACCTAAAAATTGTGTATTATTTAGTAAAGTACAATAAACTAGCTGAGTAAAAATCATTATTAAATAAATTTATTACTATATACTCAGTTACATATAGAGTAACATAATAAGTACTGTAGTATATAAGTTATTTAAAATTTTCGTAACTGAACGATAGTTAATTCTAAACTGGGCGATTTTATTTTGAATAAAAGCGATATTTTAAGAAAATCTTAAAGTATAATATGTATAAATAATAACTGTTTAAAATATAAATAATAGGATCTTATATTTTTCGCCTATGCGATATCATCACTCATAAGATTATGTAGAACGTAATATATAATAAATAATAATGCGTGTGGCTTTAAGAAAAGAAGTTCTTAATTAAAATTCTGCAAGAAATTCTTTAATTAGAATGTAAAAGGTGGTTTTATAACCAATTTTAAAAGTTTTCCTGCACCCGTAAAACTTTTAAAATCATACGTAGCATTTCCAAACTTTCTGTAAACAAAGGTCTTGATATAGGTTCCTACATCTTCTACAGATCAATAGATTTTTTAAATAGATATTTATTATATATAGGATTCTATAAGTGTCTAAATATATAATTACTGGATAAATTTTTTTAAATTTTATATAAAAATTTTTTCAACAATATAATCAATTTTGATGATTAAATTTTTTAATTCTATAGATTTGTAAAATTTAAAAAAGCTCTTAAATATTAATATTGATTGCTTTATTATAGCTAAAAATTTGTTAAAAAATTTAATAAAATTTAATTTTTTATCAAATTTCTTACAATAATATCTTAATACAGTAAAACCTCTATAAGTGCACCCTCTATAAGTGCACACCCTCCTACATGCATACCATAGCCCGGTCCCAAGCTCTGGACTTAAACACCCTCTTTGTTCTGCACGTGCAACGATTTTGGGGTTCGTGAATATTAAAGTTTTCTCTATAAATGCACACACGTGATGATTGATTATGATAGCCCATCAGAAGTCAATATTTTAAAATTAAAGATACGATCCGGATATCTAAATGATAAAAATTGCCGAATAATTTTCGACCAATTCAGTTAAGTAATGATTACATTGTAATTGAAATTTATATGTTCTCGCACAAGCTAAACACACTACAGCACTAAACACGTTGGACAAGAATTTAAACGAAAATTTAATAATATTGAACGTGCCGACATTTATGTTAAAATTATCTGTAGGACAAGTATCATATATAATGCATATGTCTTTTATATATGGAGATATATAGGTAGAAATTTGTGTAATTTTTATGTGTAAGTTTCCAGCATGTGATTTTTGATATGTAAATAACATTGCCAGAACTTTTATAGAGTTGCTATACAAGTTGGCAAAATTTTTGTAATGCAGTTAATAATCAAGTGCCATTGCATTAATTAATGTAAAAGTTATGTATATACATATATCAGAAAATTTTTTTTGAAGATTTGCATCGATTGCAAGCAGCAGAAGCAATTGTAATTGATTTTTTTATACAATATATATTGATTATTGGCTATATATCAATATATATCCTTATTGATTATTAATGATTATTATAAAATTTGTTAAATTTATTAAACTTTGGCATAGATTTTCTCAATAACTATCAATTGAAATTGGTTAAAATTTTTACTGTAGATAGTATTGGTATTTAACTATAACATATAAAAATTTTAGCCAATTATAATCACTAGTTCACAAGAAATTACTTGTATACAATAGTTAATTTTTTAAAAAAATTAGCTATCATATACAAGTAATTACTTGTGAACTAGTGATTATAATTGGCTAAAATTTTTATATATTATAGTTGAATACTAATAATATCTATAATAAAAATTTCTACTAATTTTAATTGATAGTTATTGAGAAACTCTATATCAAAGTTTGATAAAATTTAACAAATTTTTGCTATATAGTATTATTTATTACTAATATTTATACTTAGCAAGGGTAACATATATGTAATAATAATATCTTGGGTCATTGGGTATTAGTGAATTGGTCCAGGTAGTGATAATAGAAATATATACTGATATTGATTGGCCACGTAAGCAGCTGGTCAGTATCAGCCATATATTTTCATTATCACTGCCTAGAACTAATTTACTATTATACAGTGACTCAAGATATTATTAATTAATACCCTTACCTCTCACATGATAAAATATATTGTTAGCTCATACGTAATTAAACTTTTATATAATAGTATCAAATTAATTAATCATTAGCTTGTATGTAATTAAACTTTTATATAATGATATCAAATTAATTAATAATTCAAATATCTTTTCTTTAAATATACTGATACTGAAAAAAATAAAAAATAAAAACAAAAAAAATAAAACATTCTTTTATAAAAGCCACTGATTTTTATTCAACATATAGCAATTCATCCAAAGCTTGTAAAAATTTTGAAAAACCATCGCAAGAAAGGCTTCAATTATACAAAAAAAAATCATGTCCAAAATACTCAAAAAAGTACTATGCAAATATATAGCTCATAAACTAAATGATGTTGGTACAGATATCTAAGCTGTTATGAATATTACGAAACATCATACAGTAGAAGGCTATAATATGTATCATTCACAAAATGAAAAGTATGCATTGATATTGCAAAACTTATAATACCAAAAAGATATATATATTTGTATATATTTATTTTACATTTACATTTTGCGATACAATATTAACTTTTTATCTAATAAAAATCCTAAAGCAAATATAATAGTGTTGATGAAATTAACTGTGAAAATAAAGAAATTGATGATAAATCTGACAATGAAATATTGATAAACTGAAAACCAAGCCAATTTGCTTACCTGATCTCAATCTCAATCTTTCCTTACTCCTTTATCTGTTTTACAAACAATTTAATATGATAATACTCAAGGATTTCACTATAATAGTCTAAATTTTAACTTTACTAATTGTAAAGTCAAGATTTTTCTTAGTAATTAAAATAGTTTTTTTAAATTATAAAAAACTTCAATATAAACTTTAAAATGCTATAATAACTACTCAGGTTATTATTAAAGAGTAATACTTTGGATATGCTTAAAACTATAATAATGCTTTATTGTTATATTAATATGCATAATAAAAAAATCAAAATATTTTATTTAATAATTTACTAGGCTAATGATATACTAGTGGAAATAACATAATTATGTTATTTCCACTTAATCTAGGTTATGTCTGACGACGGGATAATATATCTGTCATCATTCGAGTGACGAATGATTCGCGTTTGCGTCATCAGAGATATATTAGTATTCACTCCATCATTCGAGTGACGAATGATTCGCGTTTCGTCATCAGAGATATATTAGTATTCGCTCCATCATTCGAGTGACGAATGATTCGCGTTTGCGTCGTCAGAGATATATTAGTATTCGCTCCATCATTCGAGTGACGAATGATTTGCGTTTGCGTCATCAGAGATATACTGACAAGCTAATATTCGCTCTATCATTCGAGTGACGAACAATTCACACTTGCGTTGTCATTCGAGTGACGATTTGTTCGCGAGTTCGTCATCACACTTGGGTACCCACAACCTATAAAAAATATGACGACGAATTTGTAGTCATGTCGTCTCATTTCATAATTTTGGTTACTATGATAGGTAGACAGCTTGTATACTTTTTAGAAAGTCAAATTCGATAACGATATTTGTATACTAGTTTGGTGTTTGTGGTCGATTTACATATGCGACATAATGTATGCTAGTTTATTAGTTATGACCGATTTCCTATGATATACCTTTGATATATACCCCATACCTACCTATGGTATATGCACATATATCTATCTCAATATATACTCAATATATACTATGCTATATCACTATATCTATTGCAAAGCAATGGCTCTCGAGCCTACTATGATATATACTTGATACTTACCTTTGATATATCATATACCCATAGAAAAAAATAAAAAAAGGTAGGAGTCGATCATACTATCATATATATGCTATCGGGTATACTACACACATGCTATCCGGTTATGCTATCGAAAATTGTAATCGCTCATATTCACTATCCTAAATGCATTTAAAACGGATTCGCTCACGTCCAAGAAAAAAATCGTTAGCATTAAAAATGTTATCAGGAAATGCTATCAAATCGATTTTGCCCATGTTTAGAGACATGTCATATCAAAATATATCAACTTATCTTGCCCCTAGTTGGCCCCAACTCGATCCTAGTTGAAATTTTACTAAGGCCACTACTAGGACTAGCATTTTGACTTTCTGGAGCTGTTTGATTTCTTTCTTTTATCCTTGTTCCTAGTAACCCTAGTGTCCTTAAGAAAAAGAAGATTCTAGAAAAAAAATTTTATTACTCTATAGTACCTACTGTATATAATAGATAATACGTATATATGTATATATAGATAACACATATGTATGATAGATAAAGAAAAATAAAAAGTAAGAAACTTGAGATTTTGCTAGGTCCACTAGGGTCACTAGGGACAGCTATTCGAAAAATGGTTCTAGAATCTAAAAAATACCAAATTATGCCAAATTGCCGGCCTCACTTCTGACCCCAGCTAATTTTTTTTTTTAAGGCCAGTTTTTTCTAGTAACAACTTTTACCTGTACTGGTTTTATCGGGAATTTGTGTCAATGATTCTATTGTTTGCCTATTCTGTACCATTTTAGATAGCTTATTCCGATAATAAAAGGCTTTAGCATGGCATTTATCCGTATGTAAATTATATAAGCTATACTTAGAAGTGGTCGGTTTGCCACACTCTAAACAGGGGACGTGTTGACGCCTTTTCCAATGAATAGCACATCCTTCTTGCTGATAGCAAGGCTGACCACAGATCTTTCTCTCATTAGTAAGATACTGACAAATATAAGTTCCTGTCATCAATTATTATTTGTCGAAACTTACTTGATTCCGTATAATATTATCTCAGGTAAAAATATTCAATAATTATTTTTGATTTAAACTTTTTTATCAGGGTAATATATTATAAAAATAACCCAACTTTGCCTACCATAGATACCCAAAATTTTCAAAAAAATATTGATCACGTGCCAGCAATAGCAGACGCACCACCTTATCGACCAGAAAGTCCAGAAAACTTAGAACATTTCGAGCCAGAGATAGAGGAAGAATATGAGCCGGGATATGAGAATGAAGGGAATGGGGCCATCTACCACCGGGGGGCCAAAGCTTTTCCTCAATTACAGATTTCGGAAAATGGAAAAACCGGTCAATTACTCCGATACTTTGGTGGTGATTATTTAACAGGATTACCAATCCGTGATAATATAGTTGCAGAAAATGATGAGGGTTTGTCTGCAATTCTCAATAATGCTTTGACTAGACAAGAGGATATCCCTTTTATAGCCGTCGATTTTGAGGGTTCATCAGAAAAAATAGGTAAAAAAAATTATTATATTTTGCGTCTTTACGGTTCTCTCATTAAGGTCAAAAAGCAGTAGTTACCCTTACAGGGATTCAGATTTTCTTTGATATACTTGTTCCTGATAAAGAAATCATAGACGAGTTTAAAATAAAAATAGACGCAATTCTCTCTAGTGTTATAAATACCTATAAAATAGAATATATTAAGGCCTTCCCCTTACGCGGTTACCATACAGAAAAAAGTCATATTTATGAATTTTTACACTCAGTAGTAGGGATAGGAAGAAAGCTATCCAAGCTATCCAAGATAACAATTTTGAAACTGCTTCAGATGATATGTTCTCATTCCACCGTAAAATAGCTAGAGAAAATGAAATTGTGATTTCTGGTTGGTTTATGATAAGCAAATATAAATACAAGAAACATTCCTATTATACACATGATTTTCAGGTTTCTATAAATAATTTTCGACCAGTAGAAGATCTAAAAATGATAAGTGACCGTTTTCCGATTTC